ATTTTCTAGAATAGGAGAACTAGTTATTTCTATAGGCTATATAATAAGCTTTTTAATAATAGCTTTATTCTTTTATAGAGCTTGCTTGGTTTCTCTTAGCTAATTATAATAATTCTCGCTATAGGCAAGAATATTATATATCTTTATATAAGGCTCCTAATATAGCAGGGTGCTATATAAGTAGTTAAGGTAAAGAGGTGGAATATAAGATAAAGTATGGAGTGAAGCGTGGAGGTATAATTGATTTCAAGAACTGGTTCTCAGTAATAAACTAATTAATGCCCATTTCCAAAGCTCGTATACCTCTATATATAGAATCTAGTATTCCGCTGGATATACGGAAGTACTAGTCCCAATTTGGGAGTGCGATCCCACATGAGCACTAGCCTAATTAGGCTACTAAATCCAGCTGGATACTTGCTATTAATATATGTATTATACTTTAGAATTAGCTTAATAATTTCCTTATATAAGCCTCTAGGCTTTGAAGTAATTCTTAGAAATCTGCCTTTAATAGGGCAGGTCTCTTTTCTTCCTTGGCTTTCTAAAAGAAAATATCTCTCCTATTATAAGTATTAATAGGATATTTGAACTCTTTAGGAAACTTAATAAGAGACTCTGGTTTATTTTCTGGTAGTATACTAGTAGTATCTTATACTATAGCTCCTTCTAACTTACCTAGTTATTCTAGGACTTGCTTTCTTATAGGTCTTCGTTTAGTAATAAAATTACTAGCCTATTTACTTACCTAGCTAGTTCAGGGCTTTCTTGCCTAGTTATTCTAGGGCTTTCTTTTATTCTAATATTAGTTAACTAGTACAGGAGTAGCTATAATATATTATATTTATACTTATTAAAAACTAATTAGATAGGTATTATTTGAATCCTTTATAGAATTAAGAAATAGGTAAGCTTTAAATTATATTATAAGTATAAGATCTAGGGCCTAGAAAATATAATTAGATTATCTCTATTTTAATAATTTAAAGCTAAAAAAAGAAGAGGATCTTAAAGAAGCCTCGAATCTAAATAATTACAAGCTATATACGGGCCTATATATTAGCTTAAGCTCGGGGTTACATATAATAATTAGGTAATTATAAATGCCTTACTTAGATACTAGATATCTTTCTTAGATACCAGATGCCTCTCTAGCTCTAGTCTAACTTCTACTAGTATTATATATTATAATAATTATTTTATTATTAAATGAATTAATCTTACTTTAAATATCTTTATTATTAGTTATTTTATAAGAAGTATTAAATTAGTTTATTTATAAACTATAATTCTTTAAAATAATAATTTTAATTATAGCTTCTAATATAATTATAATTAAGCTTATAAAAATAATAAAAACTATAGAAATGGTTTTTATTAATTAATTAATAATAGAAATATAAACTAAAAAATAATTTTCGAAGAAATAATTAATAAGCTTTTAAATACTTTATATAATATACTAATTAGAAAGCTTATTAATATAAAGCCGGGCTTATAATTAATATATATAAAGATTATAAAATAAAGAATTAATTAAACTAGCTAAAAAAAAAATTTAATAAAATATAAAGCTTTATAAAATAAATATATAAATCCTAATTAAATAAAGTAATTATATTAGCCCCAAATTAGTATTTCTTATTATAATATATTCTTATTTATAAAGATTTGCTTTTAGTTTCTTAATAAAATCATATATAGGTTTTTTATAATATAAAAAACATAAATTATATTATATAAGTTTAATATATATTTTGAATTAAAGAATTAAAATATATAATATATTAAATGTTTTAATTTAATTAATTTATTATATAACTTTAAAACTTAAGAAATAAAACTAAAACTAAAATAAGATTCGAGCTAACTATTATAATTATTATATATATATTATTTAGTTATAAGGCCTTTTTAAACTTTTTTTCTTTTTTAACTTTTATATTCTAATTCTTAAATATATATTTATAAGAATTTATATATTTAAAACTTTATTTAATTTCTTTTTTTATTATTTAAATATTTAATTTATATTTATTCTAATTTCTTTTAAGCCTTTTAAATTTATTAGCTTTTAAGGCTTTAGGTTATTATATAATATTTAAAAAAGCTCTTTTTTCTTTTCTTTTTTTAACTTAAAATTTAAATAATATAAGCTTTTTTTAAAATCCTTAATTTATATAATAGTAGGAATAAAGTAATGAAACGAGGCTTAAAGATTAATGATTTCTTATATCTTGAGAATTTAAAGCTAAGGAGGAAGGAGTGAGGTGTGGTAGTAGATAAGTAGGTATAGCCAAGACTACTAAAACGCCGAGCTTTAGAAGCGAGCTTGATTTGAACTATAGCTTGAAACCTTAGCTAAAACCAATTCCTTTAGCTAAAACCAATTCCTTTAGCTAAAACCAATTATATAATACTAGCTATTATAATTTATTAAAATATTATAATACTTATAATAATAAAGCTAAAGTAATTAAAACAAATATAAAGATTTTTATTTCTTGTTTTATATAATATAAAACTAAAGTATAAGATATATAATAATAAGCTAATATATAAATAATTAAAATAAATAAGCTATAAAATAATACTTATAAGTATAATTAATTTTAAGAAGTAATTCTAATAAAAAACTAATTAATATCCTTTTCTAAAACTATAAGTATTTTCTAATATATTTCCTAGTATTTAGCCAAGTATATAAAATTCTTTATTTAATTAAGAAATTTAATTTTATATAATTTATATAATTCTAATATAAGTATTATTTAAAATAAAAAACCAGATTTATAATATTTAATATTTATTTATATATTATTATATATATCTATTATATATAGAGAAAAAAAAATAAAAATAAAAATAAAAATAAAAAAAAAATATAAATAAAGAAAAATAAAAAAATAAAATATAATAAAATAAAAATAATAAAAATAATAAAAAGAAAAGAAGTACTAGTTAAAATAACTAAAATACTAATTAAATAAGCAAAAATAGTTAAATAATAACTTATTTCATATAATATTAGCTAGTTCTCTTATTTCTTTATTTAATAAAATATAGTTTATATTAGTAAAAAGGCCTGGCTTAAAATAAAAAGGCAAGAAATAATTAATAAGTTTTTAAATAAAGATATAATTTTATAATCTAAGCTAGGCTTTTTTACTAATATAAATTATATTTTATTAAATAAAGAAATAATACTTATATTCTAAAAGAATTATTTAATAAATATAATAAGATTACCTTAAAACTTATATTATTAATTAAATAGTAATTAGAATAATATTACTTATTAAAATAAGTAAAAATACTAAAAGTATTAATATTATATATTTGCTTTATTTATAAAGCCAAATGTGAGTCTCGAGATTTTAGTAATAAAAAAAAGTAAGTTTTTGACTTTAATTTTACTATATCGACTTAATAGTAAGATTCTAATATATGGTAAAGAGGGGTACGTGGGGACCTAATAATATAATAATAAACTCGAGGGCTCAAGACACGATATGTCGAGAGAATGGAAGAAGCAGAGGAAGAGAAAGCTATATATATGAAGGGATGCATAGCCGATTGCACGTGCACAGTCCATGTGACCGTCTTCTGAATCCCCACTATAATAGTTTACTTGAAGTTTTAATGCTATAATAAATGTGAACAGCAAGAAACTTCCAGATATAAAGGCCTCATATTCCAAATAATCAAACGCCGTCGCATATAACAAATCAAGCCTTCGTTTGCCTTTTTTGGCCTGTCCGTTGTTGCCCATCTCTCCTCTATCCCGGTTTAATGCACTCTCATTAACCGTCCCGGCATTTGAAACAGTGAACCTCGCATATTTGCTGCTGCTGGAATCAGCCCGATTGTGTGTTTCGTTGTGATAAAAGGTGGAGTCGAAGGAACATGAGGCAGTATTAATATGATGATCAAAATAGGGCGGGAGATTCTGGAAGGGATAGGTCGACGAGCAAGCACTTACCATTTGCCTCTAGAGGAGATGTATATGTACGGTCCTCGCAATTCTTTCTTAGGTTATGGGTTTCATTAGATTGGGTTGACATCAGGGGCTGACTTCAAGTTGGAAACTGATAAGTGGCGACTATCTTGCGGTGCCACATGATGTTATAAAATATTTAAGAATTATGTAAGAGATCTGCAGTTATTGAGAATGTAGGGATTGATGGATGTTTTCTCATCTTCGAGAAAGAAAGGCTTGCCGTTTTGTGCTTTTGGATCAACCTTCGCGGCACATCTGAGAGAGAAGAGGGCAGTAACAGTAACTAATAAGCAGGACCTCGGATCACACTTGTTGCCCAATAGTGCCATTCCGGTAGGAAGCCCACACAGCTAGTTTCACACCGAAGACAGGGGATTGACTTCAAAGCACGGTGCATAAACTTCAAGCCGCGTGACTACATGGAATCCAGTCGGGTTTTTCACCGAATTGCCGATATTGGTCAAACCCTTTAGTTCACCCCATCGTACTGATAAAGACGGCGAGATAACGGGTAGATATCTGTTGGGCTGCGGCTGCGGCCAGCTTTGCACTGGATGTGCATTCCTAAGCGAGTAAATCCAGCAAATCAGAGAGCCAGAATCCGGGTTTGAGCCTTCTGATTTGCTGCCATTTTGCGTGCACAATCGATCATGAAGTGTAAACCTAGCCGCGGCCCAGCAGATAGGCTGATCGCGGAGGTGCTGCCTGGCAGAATTCTGATTCTCTTGACTGGGTGTTTTTCACCGAACTAATGCTATTAGGTCCCCTCCGATGTCGCGGAGTAATGGCGCAGTATCGTGGCTGAAGATCTAGCTCACCGGAATCACTCCATTGGATGGATTTTCCAAGATCGGGGCAGGGCTCACAAGGCTCTCCACAAGCTGTGGAACATTCATCAGCAACAAGGGTCCAATGAGGTAGCCTGATGACCAGAAACGGCATAATTACTTATTTGTCAAAGGTTTCCCTTCTCTACATTTTGAAGTCTTCACTCATTTCAACGCAGTCTCTGGCCGCAAGGCTGGCAGCCGGACCGCCCCTGCTATTGTTATAACTCCGCGCTTCTTTCTTCGCCAGTGGTCCATCGAAAATGGCACCAGCCTCTTCCCACGATTCCCACAATGACTTGAACCATTTCGACAACTCCTTCGACGACTTGTTTAATTTCGAAGCAGCCACTGATGGTGGCATTGGCCCCACGGAATGGGCATGTTCCGTCCCTCATGCAGCCAGTTCCTTGGAAACCTCTTTCATACCGAGGACAACACAGGTCGAGGATGTCTCCATGCGCCTAAACGACCATCACCTAACACATTGTGACCAAGGGTATCTCGACGATGGCGACCTTTTGGAAGCCTCAGAGGGAACTTCGTACAATCCTGGGGGCTCCTTCGACTCATGGAGCAACTCTCATATGAATTCAAATCCCCTTGGCGACGACTTCCCAGGCAACTATGACCAGGATTCTTCAGAGCAGCTTCAGAACTATACTTTCAACCCAACCGGCCCTGCTCCGCGCCCCCGCGACAGCAACTTTCCTGGATTTGGGAACGCGATATCTGTTCTTGAGTACAATATTCCCGAAGACTTCTCAATTCGAACTCCACAGACTACTGGCTCTTCCCCCTCCCCAGTTTCTCAAACTCCAGTTCCCTCTCTTGACCGGGAGGCTATTGCTCAGAGACATGTTTTCATTCCCTTGACAGAGGGTCAGGATAGGCCACGACTCATGTCGACTTACCCCAGTATTGCAATAAGAGGCATTTATGCTGTTGGAACCAATAGCAACTCTGCTCAGGAGACGAACTCGCAATATACCAAAGCCCTGTATACCTGCCTCGATCTTCTTGAAGAACCTTCATTACATGTTAGACTAGACTCTCATGGGCCCATCGCCAACGCCGATTTGTACGCCGACCACCCCAACACGACTCCCCCGGTGGAAAATATACCGCTACCTTCAAATCTCGTTGCCACTTCCTGCTTTGACAATGGCCATTCCACTACGAGCCAGCTCCCACAAACTCTGCAAACAGGTTCTGGCTGTTCCGGAATTAGGGGGAAGGGCGTTGGTAGCACCGGACTGACGAACCCGAGCTACTCCAAGCGCCGACAAAATCTGCCAATCCGTCCCGCACCCGAAAAGTCACACCCCAAGGTGAAACACCTTGCCCGTATACAGCATGTCTTCGGACCCGAGGAGGCGATGCCAAGGCGGGGTGATAGGAGCAAGCTTACTAGTAAAGGGAAGAAAAACGCAAAGGAAGTTCGGCAAAATGGTGGCTCATGTGTCGTGTGTATGATGAAAAAGCAGACGGTAATTGATCCGCTAGATTCAAGCAATTACGTCCTTGCTAACTGATCGATAGTGTGACATAAAAGAAATATGCGACTCGTGTCAAGGGATAGCATTGGCAAAGGATCCCCAGCTAGTAGCAAAACACATCTGCATTCGCGGCGGCATACTGGTTTTCCGCCAAAGTTTTATTGGTCTGTGAAGCATACCTAGTCTAATGCATGGCAGGGCTAACGTTTCCCCACTAGACTTTTATGATACGAAGAACAGGCTCGGCTTGTTACTAAGAACACTCCGGGGTCCTTGCCGCACAATTGTGATCGGGGGCCGCGTAACAACCAATGGCACAGAAAGTGTCATTTTCCCGAAAAAAGTACCACTTATTGTCCAGGTACGAGAATACCAGGGTTCCTACCCTAATATGATTTGGTCAGACGGCTCCATGAGGTCGACAGTTGCGTCCTACGCAATTGATGCCAGCACCTTGCCAAGTGCTTCAAATCTTGACCAATGGAAAAGAAATCTCCTTTCTGAATGTTTCGAGCTGCCTGAGCTTCCAAATTTTCGACTGCCCATAATGGACGAGTTCCTTCTTACATATCTGAATACCCAGCCGGTTCTAGCATATGTTAGCTTGTCCTCTCAAAGATTGCAAAGATCGGCGGGCTGACAAAAATACAGCACCACCTCGTGGACTTAACAATTCGTCTAGTGAACCTCAGCACCTGGTTATTCGAAGCCCACCCAGTAACACCCTTTGATAATGTCAATAACCCAAGGTCGCCCGTCTTCAATATCCATGATGACCGAATCCAAAGACGATTGTCTGAGGTTGCACGATCTCAACTCTTGCTAATCGCCGCAAAGGATTTCGAAGCCACAGAACAACAAATCCTCTCTATAATTGACGCCGCAATGAGACCCTTTAGATGCAATTCCCAAGATGCCCTTATTTTGGGAATTTGTCTACGGCGCATCTCACTACTGTATAGATTTTCGTTCAAGCGATTCCCACGCGTCAACAACGGCAGGTTACTACCTTTCTTCGACCATCAGCGCTGAAACTGGCAAGAAACTGGGACTAACTATATTACAGCGAAAGTGATCCGAAAGAGGGAAAAGCCCAAGGCCATGTATGAGGCTCTTGGTACTGCTTACAGCCTCGTATACTGCGGGAATAAAAATCCCTTTTCTATAAAGTGGCGGGCGCAGGACCATGTCGGCGCTTTAGGGAATAACATAGAGTTATTTGATCTCTTTCTTGAGGTTGTCGAAGCTGATAAGCAATATTGTAAGCAAAACCCTTCCGATTTTAGAGGGATGACGGCTAAGCAACATCACCAAAGGCCAAGATAATCGGGATGATGAGGATGACGCGCATTTCAACAAACTCTTCTTGGAGAGGAAAGAAGGAGGTGGTCCACGGAAGTGGAGTTGAGATGGAGAGGGAGGAGTGAATATGTGCCTTTAGAATTCCGATATGTGAAGCGATTCGCGGCGTTATTACTGTAATGTATTAGAGTTTATATTCGAGTACCATTCGCAACGACTTCTATACGATCACTATTTAAACAGTGACAGCCCAAGGACAAAAACTAAATACTAAATACTTACAGCGAGATTTCCTCACTTGACGAGCCGCTCGGAGCCGGGCACGGCACCGGATTTCACTTGTATTACTCGTTACTTTACTCGCAATACTTTAAAAGCGCGATACTTTTTTTTCATATATATTTTTACAAAAGCAAACCTATTTAGAAAATCAAGATGAAAACTTCAAATGCATTGCAATATATTTCCTAGATTTTTTTATCTTTATATATAGCTAATTTATTTAAGAATTAATTATATTAAATTAATTAATTAATCTATTATATAATTAAAATGCCTTATAAATATATCTGACAAGTTTAACTTAGTTTAGATAATATAAGTAAAAGCTTAATAAGTTTAAGAATTTAATATATGTAGCTTAAAGCATTTAAGGTCTATATATATAACTTATTTATTATTATTTATATAACCTTTATTTAATAATTTACTTAGTAGTTATTAAATAATTCTAACTGCTGAATGTATTGGCGTAGGGGTCGCTGGGCAATTGGTCTTGGGGGGTGACTGGTCTACATCACTCGCCCAGGCGGAGACCAGTCACCCAGCAAGGACCAGTTGCAGGTGAGACTAGTCACCCCGAGTAGAGATCTCACCAGATGAGACATCAATCGGATAAGACCACTCGCACACGTAAAGGTCGCCAAGTGAATCCAGCTACAGTACTAGCCAACGGATAATAGACAATTTCTTGGGCCCCACCAAAACAGCTATGTTGCCGATTCTGCGACGAAATACCACAGCGCCAACAACGCGTGCGCTTCCCTAATAAGTAGGCTTTATATTAAACTATATAAGGTTAAATTTTCTTACGATTCCAAGTAAGCTAGAAATAAGAGGCTCTTTTCTAATTAATTCGTGAACTGCAGCAACCTGGATCCAAGTGAGAATTAAGCGAATTTTAGGCACTAGGCCAGAACATCGTGCTTACCCCCTCGTAATTTTACGACCACGCTTTCCTAGGTTTTTTATAATCTATAGGACTAAGGGTAATAATCTAATCAAGGATTGCACTTGGACATTTTAATAGTAAAATAGCCAGAATGTGGTTAGTTGTGAAAGTGTTCCACCCGAGTTTTGGCGTAAAAAAGAGGTTTCGCTTAACATGAGTTGGTGGGGACTGTAAGTAGTAGAGAGTAGTCGTACGCAAAGCCTGAAGAAGACAATGTTAGAATAAGTAGTCCGAGAAGGACTTGCGCCAAAATCGGTGGCTTTGTCTTTCATTTCAGGGATTCTGAATTAGGCACGCGCAATATAGTATAAAAGGCGCATCAAGTTCACCTCATAGGGCATAAGTTCTCGATCTCAGTTATTATTCGTTTTGACTTTGGTCCGTCTCTAGTTATTACTAAGTGTTAGCAGATAAATCATGTCCTCGTCGCCACCGCAATTTTGAGCTAGATATTTCCCAGGCTAGGAGAGGCTGTGTACAGTCGATAGCGAAATCGGCTTCCGCCTTACTTGTCGTACCTCCTATTTAGTACCCTAGGTGGTTCGTGAAAGAGACTCGTTCAAGTATTTTGCATAGTAAATTTGTGTAGGAGGTACCTCTGGCTCTCTGTGCTGGAGTCCAGCGAGGAACGCCCTTTTGAGTAGTAGCCAAGTCGCTTTCGTGGCCAAGTTGCTTTCACGAGCCACCTAGGGTACTAAGCAAGAGGAACGAACGGGTAAACACTTCAAATATTTTGCTGAGCCACAATTCCAGGCGCTTATACATACATTAGCCTGGTTATGGCTAGGTAGGTCGACCGTTTCAGCCACTAGCCTGCACAATTAACAAGGAACCTCAGAGAGACGAATACTTTAGAAGGTATGTGTTGCTTTCTCCCATAATAGAGCGTAGGGATATAGACATTATAAGTCACTAAGGGTAATCTTTACAGAGAACACCCCTCTTTATAAAGTGATGTCTGGTAGCAAAAAAACTGGGTTACAAATTGGTATTCTATTACAGTATCCAGATTTCGCCGGGCTTTCAGCTAAGGTAATTCCTTTAGCCATTTTTTCATTTCCTAAAAGGAACAGAATTTGATAAAGTAATAAATGTAATCTGACCAGATATATCTCGGAAGACAAAAACATTCCCTTGAAAAGCTAACAGCTTCCTATAATTGGGAGGGAGCCAAAGGAGGTCCTCTCCGCCTTGAGTTATCCAATTTCCCCTTCGAAATGGGGTTTGTAGGGGTGGAGGAGCAGGTGCAAATATACCAGCCGAGTCAGATTGGACATATGATAATGCTCTATAATACCGATCGAAGAGGTATACACCTTCGCTGGAGGTAAAAAGCTCAACAAGCGGATCGAACTGTAGGGTCTGAAGAGCTACCCCAGTTACTGCATTCCAAAACCGCAACGTGCCGTCCGTAAATGCTGACGCCATTATATTGCCATCTGGTGAGAAGGCCATGGCCTTGACATAGCCTGTACTGTCCTCAAACGTCTGCAAGGACGCCCCCGTCGCCGTATCCCAGAGCTCGATCCCGCGTTCGCGTGCCGCCACTACCACCTTGCTGTCCGGCGAGAAGGACACGGAGCAGATGAAATCTGGATCGGACGGCGTTTGCGAGACCAGCGTTTGCGAGGCCGCCCCCGTCGTTGCATCCCAGAGCCGGACCACGTAGGCCTCCGCCGATGCCACCATCTTGCTATCCGGAGAGAAAGCAACGTTATAGACCGAGTCCGTATGGTCCTTAAATGTATGCAAGGCTGCACCCGTCGCTGCATCCCAAAGCCGGACCGTTCTGTCATCTGATGCCGACGCTATTATCTTGCCGTCCGGCGAGAACGTCACGGCCCTGACAGAGCTTGTGTGGCCCTCAAGTGTCTGCAGAGCTACGCCCGTCGCCGCATCCCAGAGCCGGATTGTAAAGTCGGCTGATCCTGACGTCACCAACTTACCGTCTGGCGAGAAAGCCAAGGCACTAACAAAATTGTCCTTGGGGTGCCAAGTCTCGCACGTCGCTACGTTCCAAAGCTGGACCCCACCGAATCGTAATGTGGACGCTACTCTCTTGCCATCTGGCGAGAAGGCCACGGCGCTGACCGGGTCTCTTCTCTCGAGGGTCTGCAGCGTCGCTCCTGTGGCTGTGTCCCACAACCTGACCGTCTTATTTAGCGATGGAAACGCCACTATCTTACTGTCTGGAGAGAAGGCCAGCGTTGACCTTCTAATGCCTGTAAAGCCTCTACAGCCTCTATAGCCTTTAAGGGTCTGCAAAATTGCGCCCGTCGCAACGTCCCAGAGCCGGACCGTGCCGCCCTCGTCGCTCTCTTCATTGCCCCCTACTGCCGATGCCACTATTTTACCGTCCGGCGAGAAGGCTTCGACATCACCAAAGCCTCTGCCTATAAGGATCTTAAAGGTTTGTAATATTGCGCCCGTCGCTGTGTCCCAAAGCTGGACCGTGCCGCCCTCGTCGCCCTCTTCGTCGCCCTCTGGCGCCAATACCGCTAGTTTACCGTCCGGCGAGAAGGCTACGGCCCTGACTGAGCCTTTAATCTCAAGCGTCTGTAGCGCCGCTCCCGTGGCCGCGTTCCACAACCTGACCGTCGCCTCCGATGCCGACGCCAGCTGTTTGCCGTCCGGAGAGAAGGCGACGAACTTGACATTGCCCGAATGGCCCTCAAGTGTCTGTAGTAAGGAACCCCAATTCTTTTGTACATCGGGTAATCTTTGGACCCAGCAAGGCATCTGACCTTTAAACTGCTTCCTTACTCGACTATTTGCCGGTGCAAAAATGAGCGCACTACAGTATATCTGGAGAGGAGCCTGCTCGATTCCGACCAGGCTGTATAGTACAAATCGCTTTATATCATGAATAAACGCGTATAAACTGGGGCAATCCATCCTCTGAACGATAGATTAGTTGCATATCTTGTGATATACTCGAGTAGGCTTACTAGAGCGATGGAGTCCAAGGAAGTAATCGCGAGAATCCCTTCAGAAATATTCCCCATCCAGCACAGCGCCTCAAGCCAGTGAAGGACATGAACCTGGAGGAACTGATGGACGTGGTCGTTATCGTGGAGCTGAGCACCACTATTTTGAAGATGTTGAATCCAGTAGAGACATGCGTAACTGACCTCCGGAGGAAGACACTGCTCTATTTGACATTTCTCAATACTAGTAACACGTGTACCAGGGAGAGTAACACCGCATATATCTCTTTTGAGAGAAGTCGACATTAGTTGAATACAGTGAATAGCCAGTGTCTGATGTGCTGGTTTTTCGTTTACCCAAAAGTTTAAATCTCTGCATCTGTTCTTGTTGAGCAGAAAGTCGCGGAATGAAGGATGATGTAGATGGAGCGGGCGGTGGTTATTCGGAATATCTAGAATGGCATGGAGATCCTTTAGTAACCGGTCCACCCTCTGTTTCGAGGTCGCGAGTAGCCTACTCAAAGAGTTAACCGGAAGGGGAGAGAGTAAGGTTACGACACTTCCAAGGATGTTTCTTAGCATACTGCAAAACCTTTCTTTGTCTTGCTGGCTAAAGTTTGCTTGAATGGAACTCTGCAAAACAGTGATATAGATCTCGTTAAGGTGTTCTTCTGGTGTCGCAGCATCGGAGGCACCCTTAAGAAGCGCGAGTAGTCTTTCATCGGCAAATAGCCCTTTGCGAATAAACCGGCAGGCAGTTGCCGCCCAGATAAACAGGCCACTTGCATTTTGGACTAGAGTCTTGATGGCTTCTGCACCTGGCCAGCCAGCGTCCAGAGAATCTTCCTCACTAATGAGCCTAAGGTTGTACTCTAGGAAAACTGTTATGTCGTGGTCGACAATGGACTGCAATATATTGTGGAGAACGAAGTCGTGGTGCTCGGTCTCAGACATTTGATAGAAGCCGTGTCGGATTGGAATTTCAGGCCTGCTTGTCATAAACATTCGCAGCCTCACCCTCTTTAGAGATCGAGCCTCGGCTAACAGTTGCAGAATTATTCGGATATTGCCACCATCGTCACATTCGTCAAGCGCATCGATTACCAGAATATACGAGGTACGGCAGCTATTACCGTCAAGCTTCGAAAGCGGGCCGAGGACGAGCAGCTGCCACTGGTCGCGGAGAGAGCGGTTTGCAATGTCGCTATACTCTGTCACGGCGTCGGATATGCACCGACGTAAAGTGGGTATATTTTTTGCAAGCTGTGCGGCGATGCTTGTGACGAACTTCCCTGCATGACTAACGTCTCCACCACCTCGGGAGAAGAAGAAGCTGGCCCCGAGAGTTTTTTGGTCAGAGTATCTACGGGCAATCGTACAGGCAATCGTGGACTTTCCCGTTCCAGCTAGGCCATTCAGCCAGAAGATACACCGCTCATCTCCTCCATCGGCCCAGATATATATATCCCGAAGAAGCTCGAGGCGGGTATTAGGGAGGCAAGAGGGCGAATGCTGCTTCGCATAGGAATTGAATGGCGCCTCAATAGCGTAAGGAAGACGATCGAGTTCTGAGTTACCGGTTAGCGCTAGCCTTGATTACTATGCTAGATATTAAACGGAAGTCGGATGCTTACCTTTTGAAGGTTTATCGATCTCCTCCTGGAGCCGGGTTAAAGCATTATCCTCCCCTTCGCCATAGATAAGCGGTATATGGACATCGAATATACCTAGTAGCGAGTATGCCTTATCTTCTTTACGCATAGTCTGGCGATTTTTCCCCCATTGTAATCGCTCATCAACTCCGAACTGTGATAGAGGGGCTCCTTGAAGCGCTGAAACAGCAATTCCAGTTATCTCGTGAACTTGTCGCTCAAGAGTTCTCTTATCGCCAAGTCGCTTGCCTTCTTGGGAGAAGAATTCAACCGAACTTGGGGCAATAAGCTCTTGAAGGGTCCAACCCCGTGTAAACCATCTGCTTGCCAGAAAAGCCGGTTCCCAAGTAAACTCGGAGAGTTGACTACTTGCTTTCCGCTTAGTTATTGAGACATCTGATAAATAAACGTAGCATTTAGCTGCATTGCGGTACCAGCGAAACATGGAGTTGATGGCCTCTGCGAGCTCAGTACTGTTCGATTTGTCGATGCAACACGTGTCTACCAAAAAGTATTGCAAGCCGTCGCGTTTGGCCTGTTGTCCGCAGAACCGGATCTTGCCATAGCCAGCCTTGCTCTTCCCAGTGCCATCTATCATGTCTTTGAAAGTGACCTCCTCTGTATCCACTCCCCATGTGTGCGAAAGTATGGCGTACCGGGAAACGTGGTCGCCGAAGTCATTCGTTAGGCTGAACTCGCCATTGTTGTTGCATTCTAGAAAACGCATTATTCGAACCGGATTTGCGAGAATTTCAGGAAAGGAGTTCTCAGTGAATACTTGTCGCTGAGTTGGCACGCATGCGAAGTTATTTGTTGAGTTGGGAGTTGGGGTTCGGTTCAGGCCGCACTCATCGACTCAGCTGAACGACAGCCTCGCCAGCCTCGTCTTGTCCAAGGGCTCGCTTGCGAGAAAACCCAAGCGATCCGAGCCATCAACTAGCATCAAGTATCCTGACCCACTTCTCAACAAAGTGGCAATTCGCTCGATACGCGATGTTATGAGATTATTCACCTCTGCGAATTCTTTTCGAAGTATTTCGTGATCACAATGGTTCCACGCCATCCCTCACTATCGTTGCTTTCACCTTTTGCGTGCCACCTCCCCTGGCAATGTGCCACCTCGGTCGAGACACGAGATCCTCGACATCTATCCCGCTGACTTCTACCAAAGCCCGTCCAAGATACATATCCATCTCCGAACCTACAATGACTCCAAGGCCCATGGAATGAGCCTGGGAACAGCGCTGTCAAAGTTCGCAAAGCCCGGCAAACTTCTCTTGCCCATTCCGCAATCCAAGATACACAAAATCAACGACGCCCAGCAATATCATTTCAAACGAATCGACACCGGGTCCTTTATTTATCATATCAATCCGTGGGGGAACAACGTCACAAACGTTCGATTTGTTTCCGAATCGGGATAACGCTCTCATTTTCGAAGAGTATGTAGCGGAAATATGGCTGCTATTGCTAAAACGGATACGGGTTGAGCTACGAATACACAGGGAAGGACCGAAGGATACCAAGAGGTTTGAGAAGATGCTCAGAAGAAACATACACCTTAGCCCTGATGTTATTCTTGCTGCTATGCCGAAGCTGTCTAGCAGCAGCATCGATCCGTACACGAATCACGAAAAGGTTTCTTGGGTTATGAATGGTGCAGTCCAGCAGCCGATAGGTCTCCATATGGTCAAGCCGTTCAGCAAGATTAGGGGATTCCACAAACAAATGGGAGAGGTCTTGAGAGCGGTGATGGAGCTTGAAGGCAATGTTCTGCACGGTACAGAACGGGAGCATGCCGGGATACCGTCTGAGCTTGAGGGTGATGAAGTGCAGTGCAAGGAACAGGACCAAGCAGGTATGCCGCCCGAAGGGGGGAGCACACCACATCCCACCACACCCTCCCTCAATCCTTTCACCGGAAGAGCAAGAGCTGAAAGGCTACAAGGAACTGGAAGAGTTGACTAGCATAAGACCGCCTCCTTGATAGGATAATTAAAACATCTACGCGCCATCTGGAGCTGCATGGTGAGGAGCGGCACCCTGAATACTCCAATGCTGGAATACCACGAGATGTTGGATCCTGGATTCAGCAAACAAGCGGAAGGAAGCTAGGGGGGATCATCTCCGAGAGCTGGTAGCTTGCCTTACTTGAAATATGTCAGGCTTCTCCCCCAAATTTGAGGAATTAAAAAAGAGCTCTCCGCACTATCCTCTAACAGTTTTTAGTGATTTTGCTGTGGTGCTTCCGTTGTTGCTGTTGCAGTTTGTTGCTTGCCTCGATTTCTTTTGTGGCTTTGATGAATCGCACGTTGAATCTATGACAACTCTACCCATCGGCCCCCCTGTTGGTTGTGCGGAGGAAATTCACCCTTGAGAATGAAATTTCTTTGAAAGCGCTTCGTCATCCCCTTTTTGCAACCCCTTAACCTGCAGAGAACATGATGGGCTCGTAAACCTCTTGTGAGAAGTGTCCAGCCATGAAAATCTTCCACAACTTTGTGTTCATTGTTGGCAAATCGCGGTTCTAGAACCCACTATCTCCTCCCCTTTCCCTTAAATCTAATGGTACTTAAGAGCGCTGCCCCAACCCTCCAAAATGAAAACTTGCTGCACCGAGGATGAGCACGTTCAATTCCATCACAACTGCCATGGCATTCCAGATTGGAACCGGAGTGTACATGCAGGCAGCCCTTGATGAGGCAAGTGTGGTTGCTTCCCCAACTTGCAACCTGCTAACGACTGGTAGAGCCTACCAGACCCTAGTGACAAAGACAAGACCGTTGTCCACCAATTCAGCGAGATAAGACCTCCTCTCTTGACCGAATTGATACACGTATGAAATCCTGAGATCCGCTCGATGCCCCGAGACTCTTTGGTTATCAGCGCGAAGAGCCGCCTTTAGCTACTTCGGATTCCGTCCTGTTCGATCACGAACCAAGGAGCAACTGGCTAAGTCGGGCTTACGCCCAGGCACGAGATATTACTTGAACAGTATTTTGACAAGTTAGAAGGCGACGTTCACATTGTGGCACACAACGACAAGCGTGAGACCCTTGCAAGTCACATTGTTAAAGCCGAGAGCACCGCTTTGCTAGCGCAAGAAATTCTTCTCGATGTCATCGGATGGTTTTTCTTCACAGTTCAGTAATGGATACATGGGTTGGCGGTAGGTGAGGCCGCGAAGAAGATCAAGGCAAAGTTCCTGACTGGTCAGGTTGTGGTAAGTCGCGTTGAGGATTTGCTGGGATGACCTTACTGACTTGAATTTCGACAGGCTCGAGTAGAACGCACAGCGGTGATCAACAAATTCGATGACGAGGAAAGGAGTGAGACCTGGAGAAGAGAGGCGTTCTATGGTCTCAGATTACTGCAAACGGGTGAGTAAGTAGCCAAGATGGGCAAGATGTGCAGACAAAACATGCTTGAGGGCTGGCTTTCATCGGTTACCCAAGAGGCTGTGGCGGGTATGTTTCTGGGGGCTGCTGATACTACGAACTTCGCAAAGTCCAAAGAGCCGGATATCAAGTGGTTGGAAGAGGATCTGAGCGTCTCGACATATCTCGCACGGACCATTGCAATTCTTCCCGGTTTCGTCGAAGCCTCCTATTAGACCTTCCTGGCTGCTCTCAAGAGAGAAAATTCTTTGACAGGTCTCCAGGTTGACATCGAAGATAAGGTGGTGGCAGAACTGGTTCGTTGTCTTGAAACTTGTTGCAGTTGAGAATGCCTGCTAACTCCTGTACAGCTTCGGTCACGCACAACTACCTTGAAATCTACCAAGACAAGGGAATTCCGCTTGCCAAAGTATCGGAGAATGGTCCCACTATCACCAATCCCGAGCAGCGCGCCGGACAGTCGTCAAACAGTGTGATGAATGCATTAAGCGGGCTTTCGGGTTTCCAAAAGGTGCGATATCGAGGTGGGTTTATCAGATCCCTCTTCAAAGGCGAGAGGGATGTCTGGGATGGAGCGGCTCCAACTCAAGTAGCAGAAGTAGACCTCAACGATATGTACCAGGCAAGTTAATTTTCCCCTTCTCTTATTTTCTTCACCTCCTGGTTTCCAAGCAGCAATGAAATACACCCCTCAAGATCAAGACGTTCACATCTACATCAAGTCCGTCAAAGAGATGGTTGCTTACTCTCTTGCCAATGACCCAATCGACGACTTCTTCCACAAGGGTTACTTTGCAAGTTCCAGAGATGCGCTTCTCAAGAGTGTTAGAGACCGCACACAAGACTTGGCGGACGATATGCGTATTTGGGGAGCCTACCGGGAGGTCGAGGATAAGGCAAAGAGAGATTTTGCGGCTATGATCGGCAATAGTGGAGGCGATGCAACTTCTGGAGATGGTGCTGCTGGCGAGGTACATAAGTTGCGGAGGCTGTAGAACAGCTTGCTGCAGCCAGTGACAGCGGGGATGTTGGACACTGTTGAGTCCTTCAAGGATTTGGGGGTTGACATCACCCAGCTCAACTGAATACATTTTGTTGTTCCTGCCAAGGGGGCTTCACTCAAGGTCAGCAAGTTATAGCTATTAAGTGCATGCGTCGTCTTTGCCTAGAGAGGGCTGCTTCTCCAGGAATGCCTATGTTACGAGGGTTAACCATACCCTGTTCTCAAACTCGAGGATAAATGATAACATTGTACTGCAGGCCTTGGAACATTGTGAGGCCCAGTGGAAGATTTTGTACCTGGCTCCTTTCTCTTGGATCATGCTTCCCAGCAGCAAAAGCACAGAAGCTTGTAGCATATACAGTGATCGAGTCTCTTTCCTACATGCAGCATGCAATCATCTTTGTTTCTTTCCACCTCTATTCAAGCCTTTGTCTTCAAACAAGGAAAGCGTCCTAGTTCATTATTGTTGGATACGACAAGCCTACCGAAATACCTTCAACACATTATCTCTGGACATCCTGTGTCTCTGGTACAGGCGTGTTATGGCACTGCTCAACTCCTAATTGTGCAGTCTTCACACCCTTCGTCAAGTCATCACCTCCTTCGCTGCCTCAACTTCAATGTCCCAGGCTATGTGCATGAGGAACAGGGACACTTTCCCGTCCGAAAAGAAGCATTGCTCTAATCTGTAGTCTGATCTAAATATACTCCTTGCTGACTCCCATTTGTCCTGTTGGGTCGAAAACCTGACTCTTACGTCAACTTCTAAAGACTCACGCAAAGCCACTTCAAAGAGTTTGTCAAGGTGAACCTCAAAAGGAAACAGATCTCCTGCAGCAAGCTTAATTTGACAGAACGATAAAGAAGTGTCTAGATTATTTCAAATATCCGATTTTTTTTGCTCGATATCTTCTCCTGAGTCTTTGATCGTCGAATAACGGCGATCAAGCATTAGGATGCACCACGTCGGCCTTCTTAACAAGCCGAAACGAACTATCTGGCTCTATCCAGAGCTGTGAGGAATTCAACCCTTTCGGCTTACATTGCCAGAGTTCACTCCATGCTCAGAGCGGACAGCGCTCTGCGCTCAGTGCACCGCAGGCGACATCATCTCGCAGCGAGCTAGATTTGAAAGCTTAACAATTTCCTAAATCTTTCAAACACCAAATTCGCACTCGATATCCTGACAAAGCATCCACCATGGAACGCGCCGAGGACGAACTCGAACGCATCATGTATCGAGGAGCTCCTCCTAGGAAGCGAGTCCGCGAAGCTGTAAGCAGCTCGAGCAGCTCGAGCAGCACAAGCAACACAAGCGATGATGAGAGCGAACCCGGTTTCCTCATCCCAGATGAACCACCACCTCCATCCCCGAAGCCTCTCCTCGCAACGATGTCTTCGGGCAAGCAAGTCGTCGTTCCTCGCCCGAACCTTCCTATCGCCCTCCAAGACGTCATTGAGTTCCTGCACCACTTCAAGATTTTTGTACGCGTCTCTTCCCCCCTTTTCCCACAGATCGCGCTAACAAACCACAACAGAAAGGTCTTATCTCCGGAGATTTTAATAGATCCCAAGGCGCCATGCTTGCCGTTCTCACAAAATGGAACTCGGTTTACAGCATCGCCCAAGATCCTCACATGGAGTCCGCCGAAGCAATAGGAGAGAAAGCCGGTAGCAACCTCGCCCTTCGTTGCATCATCACCAAACAGGAACGCCTCCTCAGACCTCTCTACGACTATTTCAACAATCTCGACCTTCAGGCAGAAAAGAACTTGAGAGACATGACGGCAAAGGACATGGACGAGTATGCCGAGTATGGCCCTATTTCATGGTATCATATGCAGGCTATGCAGCGCCGCTTTGCATGCTCTGCCAAGGACGGCATCGTCCAGATCTCACGAAAGGAGCAAGCAAAGCGCGAGGAGGAAAAGCAGGCCGCGAAGCTTCTGGCAGAGATTGAGGCAACGAAGGCGATCGAGAATCGTGGGGGTATTGTGTTTGGCTCTGGTGGTGGCGCGCGTGGTGGATTTGACTTCAATATGGAGGTTCAAGTGACCGACGAGTTCACCTTCAAGCCATACGAGGGAGGCGATCTGGGGGAGGTTGAATTCGATCTCGATGGTACTCCTTGAATGTTGAGCTCGGAGACGGTACAACGGTCCTTCGATATTCCGATACCAGGTAGTAAGATCACTTCCTACCTCTCTTGCCCTTGCTTGAGAAATACTCTTGTTCTCTTTCATGAATAAAATGAACACGCATCGAGACCCGTTTTCTTTCGCTTTTAATATGTGAATACAGTGAATTCACCTTTTCAATTTTTGCGTCTGATATCACGTCCCATCTTGCTCTTCAAAATTCCTTTATATTTTCTTCAGCCACGCTTATTGCAAATACAGCAAATACAGAATCATAATGCCCAAACGGGTCCACGACGTTGACGAATGGCTTGCGATTATGTACAAGCTGGTAAGATCCCTTTCTCCTTTCCTCTATCTACAGCACGCTCATTATTGCAGGGCTTCATCGACCCCTCGGTCGCACCTCCACACGAATCCACATCCTTCTCCGACGAATATTGTATGGCCGAAATCTTTGCCGCCTGGCTTGGTGAAATACGCAATTCAAGAACTGCAACCGAGAACGGTAAAGAAGTAGGACGGATGATTGCAGAGCGAGCTTTACATAAAGGGATGAAGTTGAGGGATGTTGCAAAATGCGTAACGAAGGCCGGAGAATTCTATTTGGAACTGGTGGATCAGCTTGAGGAGAGGATGGGAGGCGGCGAGGGCTCGGAGGGGAAGGGGAAGAAGGTGACAGAGGATTGGAGTCATGAAATGCAGGTGGCAAGGCTGATGATGACTTTCTTTACAACTGCTTCTTTGGAGGTGGAGAGAATGCATCGAATGGAAAAGAGGAAACAATAAAGTTGCCGAGATTAGAGAAGTTTCTTGGAGGTACAGAGTTGATTCCGCATAGGGGATAAAGGCAGAGCTCACAGGGAGACAAGTCACAACAACCTTTCGCCAAGGAAATCCTCCGTCAAACCTTCACTCCCAAATACAACTACCTAATCCATCAGCTGGTGTTTAGCATAATATGGACATTGTCATGACACCCACTCCTGCCGTAATTGCATAACTATGGATCACTTCAAGAAGGGAGGGTGGGCTTCCACACAGAAGACCACTGCATGTGAGAATGAATTTTTGCTGTGAACCAAGACAAAACTTCGGACGTTTTACTTTGTCTTTTCTGAAGGGCGCTCAGGGATTTTCACTCTTTCCTTGCATTGCAGATCCCTCTTAGCTCCCCCTCAAGTGTGTCTTTTGATCCCCCGAGGTTAAGTCTCAGAACCACGTATAATGAAACGAACTAGGTCAAACCCGGATAATTTTACACACCTCTACTTGCGGGAAAACTTGTCTTTTAGACCATCGCGGCCAGGGGAATGAAACCGAGGGTTATCATTCAGTGGCATTTCTCGTGCAAGATGGTCATGTGTGGACAGTGGGGTCTGAGGTCGAGTATAATCTCGGGACTCAATTAAGAAGAGTAGAAACTCGCTCTCGAGGATTGTGAGGCCACGTACCACGGAATCTAAAATAGGTTCCAGATCACCGATGCACCAGGTTTCAATTTGAATAGTAAGTCGTTCTTTATCGCGAATAAAGTGCAGGTTAGACGGAAAGACTCCCTAAATCAGATGGTGTTAATGTTTTACGTCTTGCGGGGCTGCATTTGATGGCGATCGGCGATATGATAGTGTCCAGTTCTTGCAAGAATGGGTCGTTATTCAAGCTAAGGTTCTTCCTGGTGGTACAGTAGCTCCACCTGTGCATTATTTGTTATGATCTATTGACTCAGAGGTTTTGACTCGTTAGCTTGCTGCAACGGTTCATGTAATCTTACAACCTTCTTGGAGCAACCTTCTTGGACTTGCATTGTTTTATCCGCGTTGGGTAATATCCCAAACATGTGTGTTTTACGACGACCTATTTTTGAATCGAGTCGAGAGTAATCTCAATGGAGTACTAATTTGGATATTTATAAACTCTCATTTCTCGAGTGCTCTCACATCTTCATGTTAGTCGAAAGGACATCTGCATGTCTCCCAACACAATATAGTTAAACCCGTCGAGCAACAGCGAGAATATGCTCCGAAGCCCCAAGGGCACAAGGATCACTAGCAAACGGCAATGCGACCTCCACCCAAGCTTGAAACCCATCCTCACCCAGACAGTTTAAGCCAGTCGCGGACGCAAACCCAAGAAAGCTCTCACACGCCACAAGTCTCTCAACACTTAACTCAAGGATTCCTCGCAAGAGGTCCCGTATTTCTGTCGGATGTGTATGATGTGAGAAGCAGTCTTTTCTCCTATCATATTTCCCATTCTCCAAATACTCATTATAAAACTCAGTTTCGCGAGCAAGCCGCCCGGGATCCCGCCGCGCCACATCTCTCAAGTGGCCGAACCTTGTAATGAACGAGGCGAAGACCATCCCATTCGGTTTCGTCAGAGCAGCGCAAGCAGAGAGCGCAGCAATACGCTCCTCGCGCCCCAGGAGGTGATAAAGCGGTCCGAGTAGCAACACTACGTCAAATTTGTCATCTTGTGAGAAGACTGACTCTCGCAACTTTGATGCATCAGCGCAGATAATTGCTTCAAAGCTTAGTTTGCGGCTTTTGCGTTTTCTGCCGCGAGCTCGAGTTCGCCTTGAGAGATATCACTCAAGGTCACTTTGTGACCCAATTTGGCCAACTCCATGGCTGGCAATAAAAATCAGTGTTTGGATGACGAGGCTATCAAGGGCTGGCTTGTAGTTGGTTTTACCGACCGTACCGCCCCGTGCCTCCACCTATGTCCGCAATTCGAAGAAAGTTGCCTTTCGGCAGTGCGTCTAGAATCGTCCTCATAGTAACCGCAAACTCGAGCTTCCCGTCAACCAGGCGATTATTTTCTATTTCCGCGTTTCTGTTGTAAAAGCCTGCGACAATAGTGGTGTTCGACATGATGAACCCGCCGTTTGAAGTCGAATTTTACAGTGCCTATTAGCGTCGCTCTGGATTCGTCAATAACGCAGTGGTGGAGTGGATAGCTCTATTATATAAGCGTTGATTCCTTTCTGTAAAGCACTATCGGGGTTAAGAGTTTGGCCGCGATCGAACTTATTTATGGCTTTGCGATGAGGTATTTTTCTGCTTCAAAATAGCGCTCATAATTTTGGGATCATCACATCGGAGCAAGAGCCTTAGCGGACCCGAGGATCTGCCGGGCGAGGGCCTTGCTATTCCGCTCGGGGTTACAATACAGTTTACATCAATCGAGATCCGGGTCATCGCAAGATATAAAGCCCCAATAATTACGAGGAAAAGCGAGCACAGGAAGTTAAATGGCCATATAAGTCTACCCCGTTATATACCCTTTTTTATCTGTTATGTTAATGGGGTTATGGATAGTAAGAAGACTAATAGTCATTAGGACCAGGACACAAGTTTGCTTATACTACGGTAAATTCCAAAAATGGACCTTAAAGACTTATCAGGCCATAAGTTGTTCTTTCCATGGGATAGAGGCTCTACGTACCAATGATATGTATACTTACATAAATCTTATAATTTTGGATGTCGAAGATACAGACTTGGGCAAAGATAGAAAGGGAGATTATCTATGGGGTTTAATGGAGAATACCCAACCTAGCTAAATCTAACTGGATGAATACCTTACGATTCTGGCATCGATACCTATCGCTACCGGAAATTAAGGAATTTTTGCCAAGCCTGGTTTTGTGCGGGATCTGGGAATAGTAGCGGTTGTCGAATATCTTTCTCTATATCTGAGATTGCCATATTAACACCAAGAAGGCATTGTTTTTGAGCGTAATCAATGAGAGGCTGAAGAGGGCGAATCGCAGTGGGATGTTGTCTCGGTCGTTGGGTCGTGGCTTGCTGCTTTCAAACATCAACCTCGAAGCGACCCAATTCTGAACGACTATCAAAGCAACATCCTAAGAAGCTTGGTAACACTGTAATTGATGCGCTCCTGGCGAGAGGTCGATGAACAGTGGGAGACGAAGAAGAATGGGGTTCATCGTCATCGAGATACCTTATCTTTGCTATCACGTGCCACTGGTCCTTGCTGAGCCAGCTTCAACTTCGCTTCCAGCCCCTTTTACCCCCTTACCAAGCGAGAATGCTAACTAAGGTCTAAACGGTTAGATAAGCACATGCGCAGCAACTGACTATCCACTTTTTGAGCACCTACTTGAATTTAATAATGCCCTTAGTCAAATCGAGGAATCTTACGTGAGAGACATTTTGCAAACCCTTTTAGCCTGAGATGCGTTAACGGATTTGCTAGTCATGCTGTCCTTCCGAACCTCGACAGTAGCACCATCAAATTGGCTTTCTTCTTGCGATGACTCAGCTCAAGGCAAGTAGTATAGTGAATGCGGGTATACGACTCACAAGGCTCCCAAAATTCTGACTCAAGACACCCTGCAGGCCATCGCTTGTGTAGTACTTAAACACCCGTCTTTGGAACTCTACATCCATAGGAAATTCTAAATTTCTAGTTCTTACAATATGTTAATGTCGACCTCAGTATTTAGGCTCTAGGCCTTTTCCTGGTGCTTTCCTTTGGAAATGTAGCACAAACATCGAAGTATCCCGGACTCGGGAAGTCTTTTACAATAGGGATTGTAAATTTCCAACATTAAACTTGATTCGTTCACCCAAATACTAACGTATATCTTTTAAAGTTGCTTTACGAAGGTTAGGAGCCACTCGAAGTAATAGGCCTCTACGAAATCCTCATAAATATATGCGCCACCCCTATTTAAGTACCAAACATATCCAAACTCCACTAACACAATGATCAAAATTTATCCTACTTCTATAACATAACCCTCGTCCTAATCTCCAATTCCGTCAGCCCAGTCACCACGCAACCTATTATGGCGCCCTACTCGCTACTAGTAGTTCACAACCATATATTGCCACTATTAATAACGGCAACACACGCATATTGCACTGCTCTTAAACTCGATATTCTCCTCGTTTTAAGACGCGTGGGGCTAGATATTCACGCGACAGCGAATAATACTACCCTCGAACAGTTTGTTAAAAGTCGTTATCACGAGCTATAGTATCGCGTGAGCGTCTGCACGGGTGCAAGAGTTCTAGCGGGCTCAGGGGTGCTAAATGGCAAGCGCACAACTACGAATAAATCCACTTGGCCATATGTTATTACTCAGGGTACGAATATAACTTGGGTTCCGAGCGCACGTTGGACACAGGATGGGAATGTGTGGACCAGTTTAGGGGTTTCTGCTGGTTTGTCCCCCCCACCCCCGTTCTCTTTCTTTCCGTTTGTGAAAAACTGTGATTGGTGAGTGGGAGTAAAGGTGTTGATGAAAATGGAATAGGGATGGACATGACTTATGCATTTATAAAGTTCCTGTATGGCAATGAGACGGCAGATCAGGTTATGGGCATTATTGAGTATGCACCGTATACTAATCCAATTGGGAACCGTTTTCTGTTGTATATAAGGTGAGTTTTAGCTGATATCGGCAAGTGAATAGATGGTACTAACGCATAGATCAAAATAGATTCCAGGCGCGAATATGAGCATGGATTTGCAGGATTGTGCTGGACCAGTTCGGGTTAATATTTCTCCTGATGCTTGGAAGGTTGGTAAACTTTCGCTGCATCTCTAAGGTAACTTGGCGCGCCCGAATGCCCAGCTTGTGCTTGGGCGTATTCATCAGGCGCTTCAAGCGACACTTAAAGACCACATTCACTTAATCATGCCCATGCTTCGGAAGACTTGGTTGGCATCCTCGGCTCCACAAAGAGATATCCACTTCAGCCTTACGAAGGTTCCGACGTAAGTAAAGAGGATGTAAGGTTTAAGGCCTGTAAAAGCTGGAAACATAGATGGGATTAAGAGGAAGAAAGGCACAAATCTCGCATTGTTGCTGCGGAAGACGATCTAGCCGCATGTTGAGCGCGTTAAGAGAGAAGAAATGGCATTGCAATTCGGTGTATGACTTTATCTCTACTCTATCCATCATAATATTCTCCCTTAACTAAAGGTCTAACTTCATCTCTCGTGCCCCAACCCGCACGCCTAACAGCCCCTTCCTTCCCATACGGCTCCTTTAACTCCCCAAACATCAATTCCAAGTCCTCCAACACCATGGGGATGTTATCCGGTCCACCAAGTGAGCTGCCCCTCGCGGCGATATCCAACGCAATACTTCCCCTCGTAGTTTGTATTGTCTGCAAGAATCCGTTCGAAGCCCCAACGCTATTTTCGTACAGTGAGGCCAGTCCAATACTCACAAAGGCCAAGGCGAGAAGTAAGCACACTGCGTATGGTACGACCATGTTGTAACGTTGTTCGCCGGCAAAGCTGTATGTGTTTACGTAGTTTCTGGTTACAACGTCTGTGGATGTATCCCACAGCCGGAGGCTGAAGGTCGAGAGAGTGATATTGTGGAGCATGGAATTGAGGCTGTCTTCAGTGATGTCGAATCTCACTCCGGCTAGACCGCCGTCATCGAGGTATTGGACAAGTGAGGATTCAAGGACGATGGTGTCGTTGACCTCTTGGTCGTATTCACCTAGATACGTCCCATTAGTTAGACATGCCCGGGGATATAATAGCGGGGTGCATAGGAGAGTACGAACTATATCTCCCAACGTCTCCACTCATGGCTTGCACCATTGACTGATAGATAGCCCATATATTGAGATTCTCGATGGCAGCTGAATCCTTATCATCAGGCAGGGCGGGCTGAGGGTTGGTATAGTTGCGGGGTGTTCCGGGTACGAGAAGAGTCGTAGAGTTGATGGGTTGCGAATTGTTGACTTGGAAGTCGAGGATCGGAGTACCAGACGTATATGTGACATTGACAAAGTAATCCGCTCTTCTCAGGAAGCAGCTTATGTATTTCTCTGGATCGAATTCGTGTTGCAGATCAACCTCCTCATAATAGTGGATCTCGAAATCGAAGTTCTCCTGGACGAGAGTTCCGGCGGCTCGGTAGTCGCCTCCTTGGACGGAATAGTCGGCGTAGATGGCCGAAAGAGAAAGGTTCTGGTAAGTTACGTTGCTGCATTGCAGAGTTGGGCCTTGGAATGTAAGTCCGTATGTGCAGTTCTGGCCACAGGGAGATAGCGCTGCTATGTATGAACCCGCCATTATTGATCTATATGCCACACGGACAACTTCTTGGCGTGGAGTGCTAGTTCCATGTCAGTCAGTGATGTTGCGACTTCGAAAAAACAATATTTGAACACATACACCAATTGAATTCCAGATCCATTGTGAAAGGCCAGGTTGTCGGTGAGTTTGGATGTCGGGATGAAAGTTGGAACCTGCTTATTAGTTTCTAGTTGACGCTGCTCCTTCAATACGACAGAAAGCGCTCCTGGTGGGAATACTGTCGCAATTGGGATGCAAAAGCAGAATATAGCAAATCCCCATTCAAATCTTGCATTCCATAAAACTTCAAAGTGTAGTAGTTTGAGAGGTGATTGGAGGAGGGAGAGCAATGAGTCGATCGTGGAAACCTTCATTGCTTTTAACCGAAACAAGGACCATAGACGTTGAATGAAGGAGATGGACAACGATGCGCTAAGCATAGATCGAAAACTTAGGGCGAAAGCAATGGAAATTGCTGACACGTAAGACTGTCGAAGAAAACCGTCGATTGGTACCGCTTGGCCATTTAAACTCCATGCAAAGATAAAATGTCCAATTGCGAGGAGTAGAGCTAAGAATTAGGGTGAGTCAAGCTCCACAGAGGTTAAAGATGTCTTACCTGTGAGATAAAAGGTACAAATGTATACTGGCGTCTTCCATCCTATCTTCCAGGTGCTCGTGCCTCCAACCGGCGGATACGGGGAAGGATTTGATAGCAATTGAGTCATTGCTGTTAAAGGATTGATTTCATCTGGATTGATGTTCTTTGCTTCCTTGCGAAGCCCCGTCGCCGAATTTGAACTTGGCATGGTGATGTGATGGTAACCGGATTATAATTCAGAGAGGGAGAAGGATCCATGAGTGGAGATAAAGACAGGGACGAAATGGGGACGATCGGATGTGCAGATTAAACGGTATTTCGGGGCAAAAGAGTTTTCGAAATTGCGTCAAGATCGACCCAAAGGGTCTACTTTCAAATCCTGCCATCGAAAAAAATCTCCGCTTCCGAGCGGTTAGTACTGGCGATACCTAAATAACTTACATCTTATGTCAGCCCTGACCCTTTCGGAACGCGGGGGCTGGAAAACAGGGGATCATCCATGCAGGCCCACCTTAGTGCTTATATTTCAGTTGCAGAACGTATTTCCAACCAATTATTTGTAGGGAAACCTGGAATTTAAAACGGGCGGTGAAAAGCCTCCGAATTCCGACCTGTAAGGGGGAGAGTTGTTGGGGGCCGTAAGGCTGACCCTGAAACAGTAGCTTGTACTCCGCCACCCTCAGGGCCGAGCTGTTCGCCAATCATTTTCAGGGTCTTCCTGCGCCAGAACCAAGGCATAAACCATAATGAGGCACAGCTATCTAAATAAAGAAACCTCACTAGTACTCTGTCCTATTAACGAATCAGGACAATTCTAGTCACAGATTCGAGAAATATGTCGAAATTCACGATAAATCACGATACCTCGGTTCTGGAGCTACTTCTGATATTCCGCTGGTTATAAGACTCTTTTTTTCGGTGGGACCTTATCCTTCCACGTTTCCTACCCCTGGATGGCAGTATGCGTGCTCCGACTCTGGTTATACCGATTCTAAGATCAGCTTAGAGTGGCTTAAGCGTATATTGATCCCGAAACCAAAGAACGAGCTAACAAGAGACGACGCGTCTTGATCTGCGACGGCTTTGGAATGCACAAGACCCTCGAAATCTTAAAGTTCTGTTTCGACAACAATATTCTTTTATGTCGTCTCCCTTCTCATACCTCCCACAAGCTCCAGCTTGTGATGTAGTACCGTTTGCTCCGCTCAAGGCAGCTTATCGTGACTAGTTTAATCGACTCGAGCAAGGAGGTATAAATACGATCAGCAAGGAGCACTTCACCTCTCTATGTAGCCTTGCAAGGAAAATAGCGTTCACGCTAATGAATATCAAGGCCGGTTTCGCTATAAGCGGTCTGTTCCTATTTAATCCAGATAGGGTACTCAAAAGTATGCCCGTCCCCCCGGTTAAACTAGCCATTCCAAGAGCTATTAAGGTAAAGGCAGGGTCTTATTGGCAAGACGTAGAACCGTAAACGCCTATGACGCTAGTGTCAGCAGAGGCTTTCATGTCGCTACAAGATCTAATCATCCAACGGGACGCTCTTACGCTAGATGAAACGAGCAGACAAAACCTAGCGAGGCACTTACAGAAATGTACTAAAGCTTTCCAGAAGTCCTTTACCAAGAGTGTCCTGTAAGAGGATCGAATTCAATTCCTGACCACAATTAACAACGAAGCCAAGGTTCGACGATTGACGTAGTCGTTAGTGCTAGGAAAGGCGAAGGTTATGAGCTTTAAAGAACTTGAGGAAGCACGAGCGAAGCGTGTCGCAAAAGATATTACTAAAGAAGCCAAAGGTAAGGGCAAACGTGGTCGGAAGCGCAAAAGTGCCACGCCAGAGGCAGAGGAAGTACTAATTACTTCCAACTTGCTCCCTCACATAAACGATCCGTATTTTAACATTCATAAAATAATTACAAAATTGATCATAAAAGGCCGAATAATTAAAGCACGTCCGTAATTTGTTAATCGTGATAATCGTAAATAGTAGACCTAAAAGAGCGTCAAGTAAGCTCGTATATTGCAACGACTTCATACTTGTAAATGAATAATTATACTTATTGAAAACCCAATACTAATCCATATAGTACGTAATGAGCTACTTCTTTATATATAATACGAAGCTTAGTGAAACGTTAAAGCTAATAGTTTTATAAAGGTCCTATATCTTCTCTATTTATATTTTATTATTTAGAACGTCTGCCTTTTAACTTTACAAGTAGCTACTTATTATACTTATAATAAGATATTATACTTCTCGATTAAGCCTCGTAAATGCTTTTGATTCCTTCCCGGGTCTAATATTATAACTTGTATAATAAAGTAGGTTCGGTAATATCTTAATAAAATGCTTTTAATAGATTTATAATAATTCCGCCTTATTAAAGGAACCTCGGCTTATAGTTTCGTATCTCGTTAAGTAAGTCAAAATTTGTCTCTACTTCTTATTTGCATCCGGATATACTATTCTTATATTATTTACTCGAAATATATACTCTTCTTTATTCCGTTCGGAATTAGTAATAAAGATAATTATATAATATCCGTTAATATCCTTTATATATATACTTATACTTTAATTAATAAGGAATTAGACGGTTTTAAGACGTCCTTATAAGATAACCTCTATTAATATAGTTCTATTATAATAGTTCCTTTAATTAATAAAGACTTCCTTCTACTTTAACTATTTAATAATATCTAATCTAATATTATTAGCTGCGGTATAAAGAATTCCGTTATTTCCTTTATTATTAGTAATATTTATATATGAGTCTTTAGGATATTAGTAAAAAAGAGCTTTGAGTTATTTCATATTATTTAGAAAGTAAGCTAAAAGATAATAGTTATAACGAAAGGATTAGTCGTTTATAAAATCTCTCTAGCTATTATTGAGTTCTTTGAAATTGTAACGGCGGGATCGAGGCAATGGTACAAAGGCTCAAAGATCCAGGAAAATCCCATGTATTGAGAATACTAAGCTAAAGAGAAGAAGGAGAGAGAGAGAAGGAAAGGGAATAAAAGAAGGGAAGTCTAGCTAAAACTACTGAAACGCCGGCTAGCTAGGTGAAACCAGTCATGTGATAGCCACCCCTATATGGCCCCCAGCCAGCGCCGTTACAGAAATCAGATAATTTCATATTATTTAGAGAGTCTATAATTACGAGTTTGTCTTTTGCAGTAACCTTATTATTCTTATCTAGTCGGCTCGAGTTCCGGTATTCATTGAGTAGACGCTGGGGTTAAGAGCTTAGTGAAAGAGGATTATAGAGCTGGCCTTAGTGGGTCATAGTATAGACTATGCTTTCTTCTTTGTCTAACGCCTAGCTAAAAGGGACAGTGAAGTCGGACTCTTGGTCGAGGTACAGGATTCGATAGGAACTGCCACGAGATATATGGTAATTAGTAGTCTTCTGCATGTCTCTTGGGAGCTCCCCGACCCCATTCTCATGGGGACTGAGGCAGAAGGGGCACTTGACTTGGAGAGTTCTCGTAGACTAACAAAGCACCAACGCTGTTGGAAGTGCTTCCATAATCGGTATGATTTGCGCGCGTTGGACGGGGTGGACGTATAAGCCGATGTTTTGGTTGACTTATCGAGTGTCAGCAATGGGTCTATGTAATAAACACGTGCTCTGGTGCAGTTCTGCCACCATCTGAGCTGCTGTTAACGTCTTCGCCTTTGTTACGGGATCGTCCAAAGAACTCCTCAGTTGATTCCTTTTTAGGCATTAATAATATTGAAATAGTAACTTGCATGGAATAGTAGATAAAAGGTAATTGATAAAACGAATTTTATAAAAGATTTAGGAATTCGAACAAATAATGAGATTAAAGAAGAGAGGTATTCATATTAAAATAAGTATAGAGCAGGAAGGAATTTATAAAGGGAAAAGAACTACTTCCCTTAGGGATATCTATGTTAATCCAACTTATATCATAGGTGTAACGGCAGGAACAAAGCGATGGAACGAGGCACAAAGATCAATGATTCCAATGTCTTGAGAATTTAAAGCTAAGGAGGGAAGTGAGGTGTGGCAGTGGATAAGTAGGTATGGCCAAGACCACTGAAAGCCGAGCTTTGGAATCCGAGCTTAGTTTAAACCATAGCTTGGAACCTTAGCTTAAACCAACTCCTTCGGCTGAAACTACGTCCGTATTAACCATGTGATACCAGCCGTCACAATAGGCAAAGCATTAAGTATATTTTTGGAAAGTGTCCACTTTGGGTTTCTTAGGAACTTGTTTGAGCTCCTTGAGCATCCCCTTAAAACTTGACAAAAGTGATGTGAGAGAACAGAGGTCACATCAAGTAAGATTGGTTAAAAAGCAAGAAGTCAAAACACGTGACGATATAGTAAATCTTGCTTAGGATGCTCAGGCCTGCTCAGTTGAGCTGGTCAGGGTGCTCAGGTGAGTTGCTCAGGGTGCTCATGCAACTCAGGTGAGTTGACTGAGCCGAGGGTGATTAGTGTGACGGCGGGATCAATGCAATGGTCGAAGGCTCAAAGTTCAAAGAATCTCATGTATTAGAAAATGCTAAGCTGTAGAACAAAGTAAAGAGAATGCCTCGACCTTTAGTATTATTCCGCCCAAGTAATTCCGGCTTAGCTTCGTTTTGTGCCTGTTTCTGATATCCTGTCCTTGGTAGATCATGCCCTTACGCCAGCTGTCACAATTAGGCCTGAGCAAGAGCGGCAAGCTTACTAACCGAAAGCAAAGTCTAAGAGAGAGAAAATTAATTGACAATACCCTTGGACCCAGGGTTAATTTTTTCTTTCGCTGGTTCCGTTTTAGTCTGCGGACGTGAGCAACTGCTGCTTTGACCTGACCTGACCTGAGAGTGAGCATAACGGAGCAGACCGTGAGCATGCCTGAGCAGAGCCTGAGTAGCAAGCTTGGCAATGATTGGCAATGTCGCCAATCCAGCTTTAGGTTGTTTATCGTTCGGCCAATCTCAATTGTGTGATGACTAAGATCGGGCCAGGGGGAGGTATCATGCCACCAGGAGCCAGATATCGGGAATCGAACCCAACCTACTAGATCACTCGTACCCTTTATTTTAATTTAACGGCTGGCCAAGTATAGGTCTCGACTCTATATAGTAGGGAGAAGTCGTATACTCGGTCTGCCATACCTTATATTACCTTAATTTCTAGTATTCCTTTTCTGATTCTAACTCTGTTTCCCATTCTACGTCTCTATCCGGTTCCAGACGGTTAATCCCGTCCGCCTCAGGTTCAGGGTCTTCCTCTCCTGTACTCGGGATTCTCTATAGGAACCTCGGCCCGCAGATAATACTCAGTTATAGCAGGGATTCTCTCTATCTCTTTTTAAACTCGGTCGGGTTTATTTCCCGGTCTTAATATCTCTC